CTGAAGGAGTAGAACAGTTTGCTAACGCTCGTCTTTCCTCCGATTACGTGTATGATTTTAAGGCAAGACTGAATAGGCTTATATTAAGCGCAATCTTGCTACAGCAAGAAAACAATTCATTAGTGAACTTATATAAATTAAAGAATGAATTATTTATATGTCTACCAAAGACATTTATATGCTTAAAGCCAAGCACTGGCTAGTTACATACGCCTACCGAACCCTTGCAAGCAATCAGGAAGTCACGTACCATACAGCATTGCCTGCTAAGCAAATAACCGCACGTCACTTAAGAATATTCAACACAGTGCCATCAGGAAGTCACCTACCGCCTGATAAGCAAAACACCAGCACATCTTTAAAGATGTGACTCAATTTACTTACGTGACGAATATTCATAACTATAAAATTGGTTTTTATTGGTATAATTGTTAAGACAGCCCAGTAGCAATTAAGTTAGAATGTAAGTTAACTAGTCTAGTATTCCTGTGTACTCATCGTCACAGTAGTTAAGTTAACTTGTAAGTTAGAAAATAAAAGTAATATAGGAAAAAGTTTTCGTCTCCTTCCATTTCAACCCTCCCTAAGCTGCCGCAAACGTAAGTGGCTTATAATTAGCTTAAAAATATTATTAGCTTGAAAGTGACTTGTTTATAATTTTTACTTCGGTACGTAGATTTTATTTCTATACAAAAAGTATTCTTACAAAAGGAAAAAGGTGTTGGAGAGAGCAGGAAAATTGAAACAACTGGTTATTGTTTGAACAATGTCCATATTATATTTATTACCACATACACACGGCACGATGTGAACCTTGTCTTAAATCATTGTATTATATTAGGTATATGTACATTGCACAATGTGTATACATACATCGCCATACACGCGCGCCCCGAAAGGCTGTATGATTAAATATCTCATAGTATTATGTACGTTATTATAATGTAATATTCCAATAAGTTAAAGTGCACTGGTGCACGGAATCGGGGCGGCGGGCGCACCCACCGCTTTTTTACAAAATGTTTGATATTATCATTATTTTAATAAAGAGATGCCGTAAAAACTAATTTATCATCATTACGATTTTTATCCATATTGTATACAGATTCATGTAACATATTATACACGAAGAAATGACGAAAATATTGCGCCGACACCGCGACGTACCTTGTCGCGGATCGTTCGCCTATCGTTATCTTCATTCTCTAGTATTTTAAATGTACATGACACCAAATTCGAACGTATATAAATCCAAATTTACTTTAATGTAAAATCTTAGGTAATTGATTTTTATTGCTATAGAAAATCAGTCAGCACGCGAAGCACGTAATCGAGAAGTAACCGCGAGAAAGAAACCAAGCGGGCAGCGTTGCGCGGGCGGAAGGGATGCCGAGCGGTGATGCCCAGGCGCCAGCGGCGCTGTGATGGAATTCACCACGCCTCCGTCGCCTCAGCCCGCCGTGAAATTCTCAAACGTTATTCTCACAGACACGCTCTGATGCTGCAGTGATAACAACCGATCGGCTGGGGTCGGTTCGTGTGGAGCCAATGCGCGTCCGGTTCTACGCGAAAAAGTATACCTTTGGTCCTTGAAACATTTAGTTGGCCATCGCCGAGTATGCAAAGCTACTTGATCTAAGCCGCCATGGCGACTCTACGAACTTTACCAGTCTGTCGCTTGATTAGATTAAAATTAATTATTACCTTTAATAACGATATAAAGTCGATCAATTGTAAATTAATATAGAACGTCAATATACAAAATATAATAAATTATCTTTTCCCCCCACTTTATTTATAGATGGATATAATACGATACGTTGTAATAATATATGGATTAATAAACAAATTTTTAAAATAAATTTGAGATCTTTCTTATATTACGTAGTCTTTATTTGGATATAGAACACATTTCTAAAAAAGATGACTGAAATTAACCAACTATAATGCGTATACGAACAAACGCTATGCGCGCCGATCACGCTTCTACAACCTACCTCTGACACGGGCCATATAATCAAACCAAAATCAAATTTAGTTACTCGTAACAATATCGACTTCTGATTCAAATAAAATAAAAAAAAATCAAAAAGTAATTGATAATGTTAAAAAATGTACATTTTACGACAAAAAAACTTTACATATTATTAAGAACAAGAAAAACCTCAATAAATAAAATTTGAACACAAAATTGTTATAAAACTTGGTAGTATTATTTATGAACAACTTATTTCAGGCATAAATTTTGATTAAGTGACAGACTTTGCTAAATGACCCGTGCTTTGAGCTCTAACGGTGACAACAACGATACAACCTCACAAGCCGTATTAACTAATCATAACAACAACAACGAAATTAATACTTTTGTCAATCTAATCCTGATTGTAGCTCGAATGAGTCTAATAATATCGAATAGATGGCACCGACTAAAACGTCTTTTTACACATGCGGCTAACTATTATGTACAATAGTAATTGTCATTATGTATCCTCTCGTTGCAATCGCGGCGAACCGATGGCTTCTCACGAACGCGGCGAAACGAACGTCTCTCACTAAATAATGTATGTATGTATGTTTGTACTCGTACTCGCACGGGGATAAGCGGCCGTGTACGCTTCTCCTACTTTAAAAAGGTCTGTAAGAAAATATAATTATAGTGAGGATGTGAGAGTGAATGAAACGGCCGATGGCGGTGCGATGCGCCCGCGCCGCCCCGCCGCCGGCCTAGGCCTAACAATTATAACATTTCATCGTAATAATTAAATATTCTAAGAAAAAATGTCTTAAATACCTATAACACCGTAAATATAAAACAAATAATTACGTTAAATTGTTAGGTATGATATCGATTTACCGTCCGTTTTATAATAGACTCACACCTTAAGATTTCATTATCAATTTCCTAGCTAACGTTAATAACATAATCGCGGACGCGTCTCTTGCGGTGTGTGCTGCGGAGTGTGTGAGCTCGCTACCGTCCGCTGCGTCCTCAATCAGAGTAGCGTGAAGCGACTCTGGTGTAGTGCGATGTAGACGCGATGTGAGTACGATATGAAAAATACGCGGAAACGGCACGAGCCGCACACGTGACGTCATTTTAGCGAACGATCTCTCGGCACGATAAACAAAAAACGCGAAGCAAGCGCGCCGCCCGATGACGAGCGCGCTCCATCTACCCCACAATTATTCAATTAACTACATACTCATAAGTAATAAAAACCTTTAAAAAGAATATTGATTTATTTCGTATCATTCTCAATATTATTTTTTTTTTTGTAACAGGAAACATTTATATTTATAACGTATTTATATAATAATAGCATTTAAAAGATTGTTCATTATTATTACCTAAATTTTAATACCTAGATTTATAATATTTAATGTTTAATTGATGTAGGTAATGAGTAATAATAATAGTAAGTAACGAACGATTGCAACCGAGTGCACGTGTGTAGCAAGCGGACCGTGGGCGCACGGCCACCTAACTGCTGCAAACTAGACAAAGTGGTCGTCAAAAATGTCTCCAGTACCTAACAAATATGATTAATGAATTGACTTTATAATTTATTCTATTACCTCGAACCTGCGCTTTTGGCTGTATTTTTTAAATATCCCTGTGTTAGTTTGTTGAAATGTATGCTTCAGGTAAACTACATCTTCGTACCTGTACGAAAATTTTATTGATAGTAATTATTATTTTTGATTTAAATTTTAAATACGACTAAGTACGGTATAACTTCGCGATTCAAATGGAGCCGCGCAATTTATTCAACAGTGGTCTTACATTAAGGTAAATACAATCGTAAGAAACAATGAAATATTATTTACGTAATGCACAAAATTGTTATTTATTATAATAATTACAATACCTACTTCAAAGGTACAAGATAGAAACGAATTATCTTAACGCGATGAGAGATATTCTGAAATGTTTTGACTTAGCTTTCCAAACATCCTTATGAATCGTAAATATGATCATATTATCCTTAGGATAAAAATTTTATACCATAATACATATTATTATTAGAAAGTATGTATACGCGTTACTAATATAATCTTACGAAATAAATTGAAAATCTTGCTATAGAAACAGAATGGTCTTTCAAAGAAGTGATTTTATACAATTCGAATTAGGCGAAAAATAATGACATTAATAGATAAAATATGCTCAATATGCAGTAGTATAGTAATTATGTTAATATTTGACATTAATATTAAAAATAGATAGAATAAAATATGTGGTGGTGGACGAGCGAAGAGAAACGCGGCGGACGCGGCGGACGCACATATTGCGAGCTGCGTTATTATTGTCTGCGATCCAGCAAACAAGTCGCCGTCACGTAGTCATCGCATTGCTGTCGCGTTGTCGCCGCGTCGTTGTCGCAGGCGCACGGCCGCACCGGCTCGACCTAACCTATACCGCTACCGACAAACTCAACTCTGTACACACGGAACATGAGGGAGGAACACAAGCTTTATTGCCAATAAACCCGAATCTTTTATTTTTTCTGATAGGCATCTTACTAATAAAAATCTTAAAAGCGAACCCGGCGGTGCGTATGAATTTCACATACCAAAATTGCTTAACTAACGAAGGTAAGATTCGCAATCCTATGCGGACATGCAAGGTACATCTTACACTGTATTTAACTATGAATAATAAAATATTTATTGAGATATACCTCCCTGCAATAAACTCCACTAGATGATTTAATTTGATTATGAAATGTATATTTTTTTGTAGTTTATAATATATTAATCTGAAAACACATCTACGGTATACAGTAGAAAGCGAGAATAATTTGAAACAAATACTTGTTTAATTAATAGACTATTTCTGTCACACGACAAAAAGTAGAATACCATTATTTACAATAGAGTCGGTATGTCACCATCTGAAAGGAAGGATAGGGATGGAAACGGGAGTCGATAGGGAAAGGGTACAGTGTGAGATTGAGATGCCGCGGTCGACGGATCGGTCCGCGCGGAGGCCGGACGGATTAGACGACCGTCGCCGATGCGGCGTAAAGCCGAACAGGCAGCGCAGCAACTGGGCGGCGACTGCAGAGCGGCTTTGCGGCGACTGCGCGGTGGCTTCGCGATGGCTGCATGGTAGCTGCGCGGCGACTGTAGTAGATGGCCGCTTGGTGTATCGCGGCCGTTGCTTGTAAGTGATGTTTGCGCAATGCAGTGCAGTAATTGCACGATAGTTGCATTTCTGCTGAACAAGGACTGGACTGTTTTGCGGCGATTGATGGCGCCAACGCTCGCTACGCGTCGCCGTGCCGCTCGCCACCTGTTTTGCACATTTTAATTATACTACAAATTTTCCTTAATTATTATTATTTAAGGTAAGTTTTTTTTTTTTTCAAATAAATCAATACGTAAAGTTGAAGTCAATCGATTCAACAGTGATTAGGTAACTGGCCAATAATGTTTCTGCTAACAACATATTTTTTCGAACATGTCAGTTAAAATATTAAAAATATAATCATTTAGTCTTTTTGTTTCCTTTTACTACATAATATTAACCTGTATATTCATTATTAGCAAGGAAATATTTTTGTTGTAAATATGAAAAGAATTGAGCATGATAAGAGATATAATACTCACGTTATATATTTGTGCTATAACACTTTCAATGATAACCATTGGTGAATGCCGCAGGAATCAGGGGTCCCTGAAAAAAGGAAAATGTTTCTTATATTCACAATTGTCCTGATTTTCTAATAAACATTTAAATTAAAACGAAAGAACGAACATATTAATATCACATAATTTTCTACATTTAATATCAAGTCCCGAAGTCGTAATTGAGAGGCAGTTTAAACCGTTCACTGGAACATTAACCTCTCTAGGGGCAGATTTAAAGGTAGTAAGTTTGGTACTCTCAGTCGATAGAGCGGTAGCGAGCTCGTGGCCAACAAAATAAAAACAAGGAGTGGATGAGTTAGAGCTGCGAGCGACCGCTCCGCAACGGTAATTGTGCCGCTTGTTCTTCTTGATTTACGATTATTGCTTAGGGGTATTCCCGTTAACTAATAAGACAGTTTTATACACGGGAACCACATGCGTTAAGTTAGACTTGACCAACTGAGCGACTCAATCTTTTATTTCCTCATTAGCGACGCATTTGTTTCCGACGGCAATTAAGAGCCGTTAATAATCAGTTGAATTATAATCGACTTGCCTGCAAACGTTGTTGATACGGATTTTGGTAATCGTTACATTATATCTTAAGATTAGATAAATTAATTTTTTTGAAATTTGACTTTTATATTTAATAAGATAAATCTTATGACTCGAAATTGTGTTTAAAAACACCAAAATGATGCTGCGATAAGGGATCTTGCCCTAATATAATTATGTAGAAAATAAGTCATAGAATGGTCTTACTTAGAGAGTTTGAAAAATATTTGAGATATATGCGAAGGCAAGAAGAGGTAATAAGATTTGCTAGATGTGGCTACAGCGGCGGGCGTCGACAAGCAATGAAGACTGATGGCGTCTCAGGAAAGCAGTTATGGAGCTCGGTCGCAGTTTTAAAAGGCCATTATTGCCAGCATTGCACCGTGTATACTGCCGTCGCTTTTGCCCATCGTACTCATATTTCGGAATATGCTTTATAATTGCATCTCTTGCTCACTAACTTATAGTGATTATGCTTTAAGGGCGTCAAGGAAGATCGGTTTCATAATGAGATTGGAACGTCTCGCTAAAATTTTAGAGCGTCGTCGGCTGCTAATTGCATCTACGGTACTCGTCGCACACTCTTAGTTGACCTAGACATTTTGCACTAAACGAGCACCGAGTTTTATTATAATTGACTGCTTACTAATAGTATCGTAAAATTAAACTGTCCAAGAAAATAAAAATTATTATATTTATTCTTTTACTTTCATTTCTGATACCATGTAAAAGGAATTATAGCATCTCGTCTTGTAAATCAAAAGTTCAAGGAAAACAAAATAAACATTAATTTGAATTCCATGACAGTTGAAACTTCTCGAAGAGAACAATTTCACGAATTGTCCTCATTTCACTGAAATAGGCATTTTTGAAGATGACGTTATAAATGAAAAAAGTTACAATCGAAAGTTAATAAGTTTATTCCATTCATCACAAAAATAAATTAGCTTAAAACTTTTCTTTTATCCAGTCGGTAATATTCTTTTTTCCTCAATATGGCAATATTGAAACATTTTTTTAACTGTATAAATAGCTTAGAATCGAACAAAATGCAAACGAAAATAATGTCAGAAGTAAGCATTTCACCAGTTAGCGACATACAAACACATATTACGTTTTACATTAATCATTAAATTTACACAATAAAGTAAGAGTTTTGGAAACTCACTGGGGTGTAATTGAGGGGCGCGCGGCTAACTGCGATCGCGGGGAATCCGGAGGGCTGGGGGCTTGCGGCTTGCACATAGCCCACGCTGTCAGCCGCCGACCCATACACATCGATAGCGGGCCCCGGCGAGCTGGCCGCGGGGAACCCGGCGCGCCCGCCGGCTGCGTGCGGCGACGCCGGCGGCCCGAACCCAGCCGCTGCGGCTTGATAATTGTTCATCACTGCGAACACACAACAAAATATAATTTATACTTGCTATTTTCGTCACTTGGTGAAACTCCAGGTTCATTTAATAGTTAAATATGATATAATTAAAAAAAATATTAAAAACCTATTACAGTATCCCTAATAAATATTTGCTTCGAAAGCACCAGATCGATCTCTAGATTTTATTTTTACTATGTTTTGAATGTCATAATATTGAATAAACGACAATAAATAATAGTTCATTTGGTGATTGATTTACATGGAACTAATTTTATAATTACACAACATGTAACAAAAACGCTGTGGTTCCCGTTGAGTGCGTTATCAGAATTAGTATCCAAGCGTATAGAAATATTTTTATCCAAAAAAAAAACGCAAACGCAAATTTGCAAATTGTATGTGGTTTTATTATCTCTGCATTGGCCGAGGAGTAAGAGGATTATCAAAGACCCCGCATTACCGATACTCGTGTGAGTTAGAGGAAATAAAACCACATACAATTTGCAAATTAATTTTTTTTTTCTTTATAATACATTTTTTAATGTGTTTTTTTTTTTTAAAAATTGCTAAACGCTTGGATACTGATTCTGATAACGCAGTTAACGGGAACCATAGGGTTTTTGTTACATGTTGTATATTCTCATATATTAAAGCATCGTTAATAGTCTTTGTCATCAGTATAGAAAATTGTTACATGAGAATAATTTGAATTTAAAAGAAATTTAATTTAAAACGCTTTCAATTTCTCTCGCCCTTATTTTACTGTGATATATAAACCAGAGTAAAATTAGTAGTTATCAAACGTTGAAGTTGTTTTTAGATTGCAGATTGCACATGCGCTTGTTGACTTGCAATTAACATACATTTTACGTATTTTAAGCATAACAAACCCAAAAATTTTGCACGTAAATTGTAGTGTCGTGTGATTTAACTGTACTATGGACAATGAAATATGTGTCAGATTGTTGGATGTTGGTACGTTGCTATGGATTATGAAATATGTGATGTGTTAAGGCGGCCTCACCTGAGAGCGCCTGCGCGAGCAGCGGTGTGTTGTTGTTCGGTGTGATTTGGCCGTTGGTCAGGTCAACTGCAAACATACACATGATTCGCATTCTCTCCATGGACGCAAGTTACACGCATTCCGTTAGTAACAGCCCACTAACATCCATGACTGAACCATCAATATTAACTTATTACAAAAAAAAAATGCTACTTCGCATATTTATTTCACTTATTCTCCATCGTCCCTTCCTATCAAAAAAGTTACTCTTGACATTTTCAACTTAATCTTCAATTTCCGATGATAAAGTTGAAACGCGTAAAAGCATGAATAACTTAACTAAGAGAGACCACGGAGAAGGCGAATAAAGACTACGGAGATAGAGATTATGTCACAAGAAAAAAATATCATGTATGTCACGTGCATTCAAATGAAAAACAGAGCTCGAAGTTTCGTGGGTATAAATCACGGAGGATGAAAAAACTTTTACAAAATATCCAGTAAATTATCCGACGTGAGTTCTCGCTGGCACGTGGTGGTCTGCTTATTGAATAGGGACCGGCATTAGCATACGCTGCACGTCGCACCAGCTTGACGCCTCCCGTTGTGGCTATTCCGCCCCGCTGATCATCCTGCTGTTGCTTTTAGTACACACTGATTTTCCGTACTAATGTTTTAAAAATTCAATCAAATACGTCAGTTTTTAAGAAAAACAATGTATTGTGAGTTAAAATACGAAAAATAGAAAAATCCAATTACGGATATAGGATTTAGTATATAAGTAAATAGTGCAACGACATTTATAAAGCTGAACTGGAGCTTGGCGCTTGCTTTCAAATTCGTGTAGTACGCGGGTAGCCTCGAGTTTGATCCAAGTTGGTTTAAGTTGGGAAAACATTGAGAGAATACTAACAATTGAGAAATTAAAAATATTTTTGAGGACATGCGATGTTTGAAAACCTGCATTGCACTGTGCAGCACATAGTGGTAGACTTTTACCTGCTCTAAAACTCTCATACAAATAACAGGAAGCCTATTCCCAACTGTGGAACGTATGCAGGCTACTATTTTACTTAAGTAAAAATAAAATTTGCATGGAATGAAATTCTAAATGAAAAAGCGTAATTGAAAAAGGAAGATTAATTTTTGTAACTTTTTGCTTGATCATAGTGTCCATCATTAGCCCTATTGACTTGCACGACAAATTTTATATTTATCAGATGTGCAAGTTATGATTTAGTTTGAAAAATGAAGGACCGCGGCCGCACCAGGTGATTACCGGCCTGGGAGTGACTTTGCGAAATAGTACAACATAAGTAATGGAGGATGAATGATAGATTACGTCGCGGGTAGCCGCCTCACGATCGCTCTCGCTCTTGCTCACTGGCCAGTACTGAAATGCTGACACACTTTAATAACATTACGTTGCGACGTGAGAGGCTATTTGAGGGTCATCCCGTAACAAAAAAGAATTTGAGTTGTAACATAGACACGTCTACCAATCGTTAATATACTGATATGGGTATAATTCTTTCTTTCTTCATTGCTATTGAAAACTTCCATTATAGATAAGTTTCGTGGTCAAATTGCCTACGTATTTTATTATCTTTTTTATTATATATTATCTTATTTATTACTTTATTATAAAA